GACGGCGAGGGAGGTCCTGCAGGAGCAGGGACTGTGGGAGGAGTTTAGGAAGAGACACCCCTACAAACCTATGGTCAAGTTTGCCAGCAACTTCGCCAACACTGAACGGATGACCAACGATGCTGACGTAAGTGACCTTCATGAATTCTGACTGGTTTTCCGGTCTTTTTAAAAGGCAACTACGTTTACAGAAAACACAAATTGTACAGCTGAAGAGGCACAAAAACACATGGGCACAACTATACAATAGGCAGACATTCAGAAGTTAAATGATGAATAATAAGCAGCTTATTTAGGAGTTCGGATTCTACAGGTACTATATGAGACACAGGGACTGCCCAGGATACAATACGAAAGTCTGATTTTGCATATACAGAATATGAAATACAGCAAAATCAGACTTTCTTATGTTTTTCAATCCACAGCTTGAACATTAAACAGACAATATCAGTGTGTTTCTTAGAGAAATGTCTACTTAATACGACTGTTATTTCATAACAAATTAAATTTTAGAGATAACACCTTTATTGTAAATTTTATGTAATAGAGAGATGAGTGGGTATTGTTTGAACTACTGATAAACTTCCAGTATCTTTCTTCCTGTACAGCTGACATACTATGGTGTCATCTCCATTGGAAATCCACCACAGTCCTTCACTGTCATCTTTGACACTGGATCCTCCAACCTATGGGTACCATCCATCAACTGCTCCAGCCAGGCTTGCAGTGAGTGAGGGCTGTCATTGTTGCCTTGGTTACTGTCCTGTCTTGGGTTCATATTTAAACTCTGAAGGCTCTGATGATTCTTGATTCATGCCAGTGAGGTAGCAGAGTCGCAGAGGAAGCAAGAACGTGATCTATGACATAGCAGTAATATTAGTTAATAGTTCTGGCAGCTGCTGCAATTTATGTGTTTACAAGAGCGGCAAGAGTAGGATTTGTGTACTTAGTGACCTCACAATCCAGTATTTCAAGTATCACCCCAAAGGTACAATTACAGTATTCCTGGGTCTTTTTTCAAAAGTTCAACTCCCTAATTACAATTTTATCTGTCCATCAATTTAGATTAAACATGAAAAGTAACAAAATCCTTCAATCCCAGACTTTTTTTTTTTTTACTTTTCCAGGCAACCATGCAAAATTCAACCCAAAAGGGTCCAAAACTTTCAAGTCCACATCAAATTCAGTGGCCATCCAGTATGGGACTGGGAGCATGACTGGAGTGCTGGGATATGACACCGTTGAGGTAAACCGATGTGCTAAGATACACAGTGTTGTGCTGGCTACACATGGTGAAGAAATTCACATGCAGATATTACTTGCTCAGTGTTAAATATTTGTATGGAATGAATGAAATGTAAAATCTGTTATCCTGAGCCATCACACTCCCAGTTCTGGCTACTGAGTTTATGTTGGCACAGGCTTATTACATCAACATGAAGCATCATCTGCAAATATTGTACCGTAAACCATTGATCTTTCCTCCGTTCCCAGAGTTGCTGTTCCATTTTTGCTGTTGTCCTTTGCTTTGTTATTCACCATACCTGCAGAACAATGCTGTGACATTTGCAAACGACTCATTTATAGGGAATGAGTCCCTCCCAGTAAATAATCACTCACTCACTCACTCACTCACTCTCACTTCCCTGCAATGAGTCCTTCTTTTCTTTCTTCTAGATTTCCTCAGACATATGACACAAGTGCTGCTTTCCTCCTCGACTATAGCCAGTGAGAGCCAGTGAGCCATGTAAGGGTGTGCTGTAAGCAAGCATATGATTGGCTGAAGACTAAAGCTGGAACTGAATATATATGTCTACAGTGAACAAACAACAGGGAGTCTAGTTTAGTTCTGAATGACAGACTGAAAGGAGTGAAGGAGTTGGTGAGTGAGTCAATGAACGAGAAAGTAATGAGTGAAGTACATCACTACTGTATACTACTGGTGCAGTATACAGCCTATCTGTGTAGAGTATTTTAGAGATTTTAGAGATGCAACATATTCATGATTTAGAACGATGACTATTGGTGATATAGGCTCTGAACTCTCCGCAACCCTGACCAGGACAAGCATTTACAGAAAATGGATGGATAGATGGATGGACTATTGGCGGTATTTAGTTTATTCCTTAATACCAATTTGCCTAAATAATAGGCAATTTTTTGCATATCAGACCACAGATGTTTGAGATCTTTTTTATGCAAACAGGAAGTACCACTGAACGAATTAGTGAACGAATCATAATGAATCCTTTTGTTGAACTGAATCAAACGAACTGTGTCCCAAAACAGAGTTATTTCATCCCTCACTACAACAGAACTGTGTTACCTTTGGAGGCATCATTAAGACTATCACATGAAAGTCTTGAAATTTCGAAACAGTCGATTTCATTTCCTTCTGTCACA